ACATTATTACGGAATCAAATCCTTAACAGGATTTCTGGGTGGCAATTACATATGCGATTGTTGCTTTTCCCCTTTTGTAAATAAAGACAGACATTCCTGTCGGGGTTATTGTCCCGTCTGCAACGATCCAGGCTGTACTCAGCTTGAATCCTCACCAGTTTTTTGCCCCGACTGCAATCTGACTTGCCGCAATCAGACCTGTTATGCGAAACATAAAATCAAAAAAGAACGACCAATAGCAAAAACACGGGCCAGTAATTGTGAGATACATAAATTATGTCTAAAGTGTGGAAGAAAATATTATATTCCCATCTCTACTCCGGGCAAACGCCATGTATGTCTACCTTGAAAATGTCACATATGCGCAGAGAAAATATCCCCAGATTCGGGTGAGGGAGAGCACCAGTGTTTCATTCAACCCTGTCAGAAAGATGAAAAACTAGAGGAGAAATTAGTTTTTTTTTTACATTGAGACCTTTGTTAATGAGGAAAGCAAACATGTTCCTTTCCTCGTCTGTGGAAAAGATTAATCGGGAAAAGAATAGTCCTCCTTTGGTCTGAAATGCATTCAAGATTTTATTCTCCACTTTCGAAGACCAAAGTTTTCCAAATTTGTCTTTTTGGCGCACCACGGTAGATCTTTTGACTATTATTTGGTTCTGAATGCCATGGTTCAGATGGGTATAAAACCTCGCATCATTATGCATGGTTGTACAATTCTCAGTTTTATCCACCCAGACTATGGTTTAAATTTTATAGATAGTCTTTCATTTCTACCTATGAAACTCAGTGCCATGCCAAAAGTTTTAGCCTTTAGTGATAAAAGTAAAGGTTTCTTTCCACACAAGTTTTCATCCCAACAAAATTTGAAATACGTCTCCCCGCTTCCCCCACCTCAGGCCTATGGGATAGAAAATATGTCACCGCCTGAAAAAGAAAAGTTTTTGAACTGGTACATAAATGCTTCTGCTTGCCCATTCTCTTTTGAAAAAGAAGCAATGTACTACTGTAAAAACGATGTTGAAATCCTTTCTCAAGGCTGCAAAAAATTTAGAGAGCAGTTCTTTAGCGATACCCATATAGATCCTTTTTCTCGCATTACAATCGCCTCGGCGTGCATGAAGACTTTTCAGGCAAATTTCCTGACTTCAAATACACTGGCAATATCTGATCCGCTTGGGTATCATGGACAGACAAAGCCATACTCAAACGGTTCGATCAAATGGCTGGAATACTTGGCTTTTTCCAGAAAGTCCTTCATCCATCACGCCCTTAATTTAGGGGAGAAAAGAGTAGGGTCGTATTTTTTGGACGGTTACGCCGAAATAGGCGACGTCAAGTACGGTTTTGAATACTTTGGCTGTCTGTTCCACGGTTGCCCTTCCTGTTTTAATCCTTTGTCCATTTGTCCGTTAAGAGGCGCGAGCTACGAAGAAATCTTTGCAGCCACCCTCCAAAGAAAGCAGATTCTGGAATCGCTTCATGGTCTAAAACTCGAAGTCATTTGGGAGCATGATTGGGAAAAGAAAAAAAGAAACTGCGCCGCCGTTAAAGAATTTGTTCAAAACAGTTCCCTGCCTGAGCCTCTGTTCCCCAGAGATGCTCTGTTTGGAGGCAGAACCAACGCCGTCACGTTGAAATATTCTGCCGCTCCAGATGACCAAGACGTCATCTCGTTATATCCCTCCGTTATGAAAA